TAATGTAAAATATATAATTGCTAGTATTTTTCACTAAGGGGCTGTTTGGTTGCCTGCAAAGTAAACGCAATGTAAAGTAAATGCAGTGTAAAGTAAATATAATGCATTCCAAATACTTTGAAGCTGTTTGGTTGTCTGCAAAGTAAACGCAGGAGAAATGTTTCCCTTGTTTGGTTAGATATATTCAGAGTAAAGTAAAAACAGTGCATTTGTAATATTTTTTTTGTCATTATAACTTATGTATTTGTAAAAGTAATCATCAATTGTTTAAACTTCGTTTGAGATAGTTTCTTCTTGCTTTCTAAAACAACATTTCAGTAAAAAAAAAATTTAAAAAATCGTTGTAAAAAACAATATGAAAGATGTTCCAAACAAAGCTATTTAGAGCATTCTTAAGAATGTAAATAAAAATATTTAGAAGCATTCTTAAGCAATGAAATGGAATCCCTGTAACTTAAAATTTTATTATTAATCTGCAATCATTTATTTAAATTTTACAACTCTTTTCCCATTACCTTCCACTCAAACTCCTCACATTCAAAAACAACATTAATTTATTGAGCTCTCCTCTCACAAAAAATTCAAAATGAGATTGTCAGCTTGGGAACTAAAGCTGTTGTTTCTCATGTAAAATGAAAATTTTGCAAAATCCTCCCTGCCATGCTGTGGTGTTCAACATTGGACCTGCCTTACCTAAATGGAGTAACGATGATACTGCAGAGATGCAACCAGCTATCTGCATTGAAAGATATCCACTCTTACAGATACAAGATCAAAAATTATCAAAATACAAAAGAATCAAATTGTGGGGATTCATATAGACCCGATGGATTATCAGTAAACATGATTAAAATTCTTAAAAAAAAATTATCACAAAGGCAATATTTCAAATCTGTTCAAACTTCCAGTCCAAGAAAAATAGTAAATTAAAATTCAACTCCAAATCTATCTTGGCACTAAGTAGCTGTTTATGCTTAATGTACACAAATCATTGCAGCTAAACAACTAAATTAAGGGCTGCTCCAAACTACCATAACATCTTTGGCATTCATATATCAAGATAACCAATTTTGGAGAAACACAATTAATATTGAAAGACATACTGACTGCATTATTGACCTAAAAATTACGCCACATCTTTAGAATTGGTCATCAAGCAACACAGGGAACTTATCATCCAATCAAAGACATTTGCCTGTTGGTAATTACCTCTACTTCCATCCTCTTCCCTGCCACATCTCATCATCTTTTTCTCCAAAGTCCTCTCCCTTGCTCTCGCTCTTGCCTTTTCTCTTGATTCTCTAGCAACCTTCGGCTGAACCATAGACCTCGACTTCAAAATCCTACCTTTAGGCTTTGCGTTGCTTTCTAATTCGTTTACAAGAATAGCCGATGTTGACTTTCCCTTGCTATCCGATACAGTCGAGTTGTCTTCTTCTCCTTCAGAAGAGGACACCACGGCACACTTGGAAGCCGCGCCAACCAGTTCTTTAATGGCGACTTTAGACATGCTGAGGAGCCATTGAACTGTCTTACTTGCCTTGTCGAAGCCCAGCAGATCCTGAAGGTCAAAAAACTTGCGTGCAACGTCAAGAGAAAGTTTCATCCTCCGGTCTCGAGGTCCTTGTGTCGTGTATATCTTGCTATGTCTATCCTTTCTCATTGGACGCCTCCGGCCTGTAAGCGGAGGACCAGCGGCGCCGGAAGGTGCTTTATCTGATTAAGGGGAAGCTAGAGAACTCACTTGGGAAGAACTGTAATCGCTGGATTCTAGTAAAAGGAAGAACGGAAGAAGGCGTATAAACACTTAAAAATCTCACTTTTTGCGAGAAACAGAGCTTCTCCGATATGCAGTACAGGGCCGGCAGAAAACAAGAACGAACGATGGATATCCAGGGCCTTGAGGGCGAACAACACGACGGAGTGGAGCTAAACAGAGCTTCTCCGAAGAAGCTTCTCGTGCAATGAAGCCGAATAGCACGACGAGTAGACGATGGAGTGGAGCTGAGAAGGCCGAACTTGAGGGCGACGGAGTGGAGATGCTCGCCGGAGCGAACTCTCTCCGGAGCTTCTTGGCGGAGCGAAGTCGAACATCTACGAAGGAGGCGAAGAAGCCTGAGTCGTGCAATGAAGCAGAACAGCACGCGAACGATGAAGCTTTTCTTCCTTCCCGATGAATTTATAACCCGCTCAATACGAGCGGGTTTCTAATTCACGCAAAACAGTATCCCGAATACACTACTAACGCATCCGCTGATTTTCTTTTGTACCGCTCAAATTTATCCAAACAACCAAATTTAATAAATACAGGTAATTGTTTTACTTTACACTCCTAATTCAGGCAACCAAACAGCCCCTAAAAGCATTAGCTGGATAGAATGTTATAATTTATAAAAGAAACATTATAATTTATAAATTATACTTAAACTTAACAAAAA